TGAATGAATGATTTTAAGCATATCTTACTCTTTAAAAACAAAATAAAAGCACAAAAAATAACCAAGCACATACTTTCACTTTAGAGTAACACATTTAAAAAAGTGTTGAGATTGTATTATGTAAATTTTTCCCTAACACTGATCCCTGCTATACAGCGGTAAATAAGTATTAAACGCGCCACCATTTTTTTTCTCAGAAAACCTATTTCTAAAGATGCTGTTGACTTGAAATTTTCCCCGGATGTTGGTAACAACCAAAGAAGTCCACATACGCAAAGAAAACAAATCTAATTAGTTTAGAAATGCAGTTTTGTGTAATAAAATGAAATGATGCAGGGAAAAAAAGTGTTGAACACATGAAGAAAGGAAGGTTTAGAAAGGCAGTGAAATCCCTGACAGCAGCTGAAATCTCTCTGTAGTTCTTCAGCAAGCCTCCGCCCTTCCTCAGTGTAATTGAATATCAGCTGCAGGGATGGGTACTGAAACTACATAACAAAAACATGAAGTATCGATAAGGTCTGACATTATCAGCTATCGCTACTGGAGAATTGCTGAATGAACTTTAGTTAGAGTAGCATAATTTAACTAACCAACCTTTTTTAGTTAACGATATTTGATATTCGTCTGCACAGTTGCCAATCTCGCTTGAGAAATGCTCGTGTTTCCATCGAGCATGTCAAGTATAAAAGCCTTCACAGTTCTCGGCTGTATGATGCACGATGTCTGTATCATTGGCAAATACATGTGTGCGATGCCTCACGACACTATAGCAGAAAGTCTAGCATGTTTAATTCTCTAAAGCAAGGGTGGCCAATCCCATTCCCGGAGAGCCACCTTCCTGCAGATTTCAGTTGCAACCATAGACTGTAAAATATATGGACGTAGTATCCGTGACGTCACCCATAGGTTTCTGAAGAGCGCAAAAGAAGCCGTAAGTAGGCGCGGCCAACCGTCGCCATTTTGGTCACGCGTCATCACACCCACAGCGGGATACCAAACATGGGCAAAGAGGCGGAGAGTGGGCGGAGCTACAGACACCTGCTAGCATTTAGCTTGGACCTGGTTCAGACACACTTTACTTTGGGAGAAACGCTTAATACTTTATCACCTGTGACTCGTTTGTATTCTGACCACTTGTGCTTGGTTGTACACTATATCAATAAAGTGTTTAGTCTTTTAAAAACACTGCTGTAATACATTGAGCCACTAAACATTGTTCTAATGACGTTTTTCAACAGGAGGAAAACGCGAATTACTTACAAACACTTCAGATATAGTCTGTGTTAGTTACTGTAAGACTATTGATAAAATCCAGCATAACACTGTATGACAACACTTCAGATGACTGTTCTAGAGCCTACAGCTAATCAATCTGACAGATTCTGCAGTGCATTACAGCTCTAAATATAAATATAAACGATAAATGATCTTAAATAAAACAAATACATGTATAGAGATGGTAGATAAGTATATAACTTTACTCACATGGGAAACGGAGGCCACGTGAATGGTTTGTGAGCTCAATTAAGTGCACTCAGCATGCCATGCCATCTAATAATTGTAGGAAACAAGTCCAAAAGGCAGTTGACTGTGTAAAGCCACATAAAACAACACAGAAATATGATGAATATGCCGATGTTCAGTGGCTAATCTGCAGGATTCAGCTGAGGTGACGTGACGGCGACCAGCAAGACCTAGCTGTCAATCAAGTGGCCACTCCCTTAATTATGCAAACTTAATATAACTTAATATAAAGGAAACGGATGAGTAATAAAAAAATTCACCCCCTCACAGTTGTCATGAAGGGTAATATTACCTGTATTAACCAAAATCTTTTTTTGTACCAGGCTGTAAACACCTTTTTTTCTGCTGTAAAGTTGGCCATTCTAACAGTGCGCTCAATTGAAATTTGCTCTGTTTTGGAGCCAGGAGCGGCCAGGTCTAGCGGAATTTCGGATGAATTGCAGTTTTAGTTACTTCCGTATTGGCTTCCTGAGGGAGAGCGGGAGGTTGCCGCTTGGTTGCAACCCATAATCAACACACCTGCCTGTAATTATCACGGGGTGCTCAGGTCCTAATTAATTGGTTCAGGTGTGTTTGATATGGGTAGCAACTGAAATCTGCAGGAAGGTGGCTCTCCAGGAACAGGATTGGCCACCCCTGCTCTAAAGCATAACGGACTGGTTTTAAAGATGTTATTAATTATTTTTGTTCACATATATACATAAATATTTACAACATTGCAGCCTCTTGCCGTTAACTAATCACAACGTATCAAATTGCAGTTCCATTTCAATTAAACCAACACAATCTCAAAGCAATTCGTAACTTTTTCATTTAGTGGCTAATTCGTATGAATTCGTACGATGTAATTCGTACAATTTAGTACGATTTGCTCATCCCCCAATGACGGTTGGGGTTAGGGGTGGGGTTAGGTGCCACGCCTCCTTTTTAAAATCGTACGAATTCGTACGACTGAACTCGTACGAATTTGTACGAATTAGCCACTAAACTGGTAAAACGTAAAATACTTACGTTTTCTCGTGAGATCAGGCTGGATTAATCATACAGCCTTATCACTAACTATTTAAAAAAACAGCTAATTAGTAGTTTATTAAGCTGGTAGTGTTCGTTAATGGTTTGTTATTAACGTGAATTGTGACCTAAAGTGTATTAAATACTTTCGCACAATACTGTAGAATGACCTCTAAACACTTTTACCATAGTGCTTGATTTGTAAACTAACACACTTGCATGCTTGCATCACATGTAACCTGGTTGTGTATGGATTTTCTGGTTAGTGCATTGCGGTATGAATCTCAGACATAACGGCTACTTGTGAAAGCAAGATAAAATGCATGGGATGGTAATTCTATCCTTTTAACAACATTATTGGTTAGGTTTAGTTAAGGTGGGATGTAATTTATTGGGCATTATCATTTCACCACCACTCCCCAAAGATTTAATTTCCTGCTGTAGTGCATACATACATCAACCAGCGTAATAAAAAGCAGCCAGTTTCAAGCTCATCTGTTTGGTGCAACATTAATCATGCTTTTAGCGCCACTTACTGGACATTGCACTTAGAAAGTATCCTAGAATGTTATAGAAGAGAATAATAGAAGAGAATAGGACATCATATGGGCTTTAAATATTAGTTTCAAATGGTTTTTTCTATTGATTCCTTTTGGGACCCATCTGAGTTATCCAATATGAATCTCAGTATGTGTTTTATGTGTTGTGTATTTGGCACCTATATTAGCCCTCCTCAATTGGCAAATGCAGGTGTGGACCATGTGGAACCCTTAGTTAAACCCATTTGGGATGGATATTTATAGCCCATGTGAAGTCATTTAATGTTGTCTGCAGGTAAAAGCTTTTTGCAGGATGTTGTTCGCAAGTATGATTTTTGTAAAAGGGTACCCCGGGTATCAAGACTTCTGTGGCTTACTATATAACATAGATAATGTCTTTTAATTAAATTATGAAGTAGAAACCCAATAGAAGATTTACATGTTTAAAAAACTCATTTATTTTGGATTTTGGGGCCGCAGTGTATGATGTCAAATGCATTCAGTGAGCCACTGGCCAGCCTGCTGCTATTTTAACACAATTTGGAGTGTAAAATGCTGATAAAACTGACACTAAATATAAAAAAGTAGACACTATATCTGTAACGTCGAGGAGTGACACTCACAACAGAAGGTAGGATCCAATATGCAGGTTTATTCTTTGTCAGGCAAGCAATGGTCAAAACAGGTATGAACAGGTATGTGCGGGCAAATCCAGAGTCGAAGTCAGTAAACAGGCAATAGGTCATAAGGCAGGCGCTAAACAGGATAACTAGGATACAAAGCTAGGTTCAGACACGGAGAAACAAGACAGGGAGAAACGCGTTGAAATGTCACTAAACAGTAAACATGACTCAGCCAAGTGAATGAGTGTGTGTGCTGCTTAAATACTGTGTGAAATTTCAGTCTGTGACAACGTTCAGCTGGTGATGTAATCAGGATAGATGAATGACCAGGTGTGCGTGTTTGGAAGAAGTGCATGTATGAAAATGTAGTCCTGGGATATGCGGAAGTGAAGTTCATGATAAAGTGGAAACCAGCGATCTCCAGAGAATGATCGCTGGTTATCGAAACAATAACGTTGTCACTAATGACTCAATCGCGAAGGAATATCTATCTACACAGTAGATGCAAACATCCCCGAATTGTATATCTGACAGGGACATGAGGGTTTTAAATGACTGTAGAACGGGTGCAGGTGGAATATATGTATGGCAAGTACCCACAGTTCACAGTTTGTGATCATAAACTGAGCTCTTTGAAAATGTTGGAAAGGCTGTTTTGGTTTTAGCAGACACCTGAATTGTTGAGGCATCATGTAACTACATATTTATATGAGCTTCACCTTCACTTTATGCATATTTATAACAAAACATAGCCTCTCTCTTTTGCTAAATATCAGTTTTGATAATCAATAATGGCTGTTATAAAAGTTTAACATGCAATAAGTTATACCATATGCAAGATTTAGTCACAAGCATGATTTTTGTAAAAGGCTACCCCGGGTATCAAGACTTTTGTGGCTTACTATATAACATAAATAATGCCTCTTAATAAACTGTAAAGTAGAAACCCAATAGAAGATTTATGTTGTTTAAAAAAAAAAAACACAATTATTTTGGATTTTGGGGCCGCAGTGTATAATATGCCTGGAGCTCAGACCTCCACATACGCTGCAGCGCATGTCAGAGTGAATGTGTGGTCATGTGATGTGCGCTTTCAGAGGTATAGCACGAACTGAGATCTTTTCAGAGATGCTAGATGAAACGCCAATGTGGACGTGGATCGTTTTCATTCTGAACCGCTGTTTTAAAACTAAAACATATTAGTGCAAACGAGGCCTGAGTGAACCGCTGTTAACCACGATATGCATTAGTCCAATGACATTTACTGACTATAATATGGAACTTTCTGCTCTTCTATCATCAGATGCTCGAACCCAAGCAGGATGAGCCATGTGACCTCAGGGGCCGGAGGATGACCTCTGAAGACGACCATTCCCTGGGCAGCCTCTCGGACGCTTCGGCCACCACAGCGAGCAGCCCTCAATCCAGAAGTCTGACCCTGCTAGAGGAGCTGTGCACGTCTCTGGAGGAGACCTGCCACCCGGTGCCTCCAACACCTCCACCCTCCACCGAAGGAGACGACGGCAGAAGCACGGAGAGCAGCATGAACGAAATATGGAGGGAGGAAGAATGCAAAGAGAAAGAAACTGAAGAGTCGGACTTTTTACACGCACAAACAAAAGACTGCGACGATTGCGATGAAAAGCAGGTGATTATTGATGAAGAGAACGCCTCGGAGGTGGCAGACACCAACGCTCCATCATCATCTTCCTCGTTTATCATCCCAGAACTGCGCTTAGATCGATCCTACAGCGCTGACGCTCTCTCCACCCCTGGAACTGATGAAGAGTACGATGAGGATGAAGATGATGAGGAAGAAGAGGAGGAGGAGGATAGTGATGATAACTATTTAGAGCGCAGTGATAGTAAACGGAGGAGCATGGTGGAGGCGGGTTCCTGCGAAAAGCATCCGGGTGGGTTAAGCGTGCAGAATTCGCTGCGCAGGCGCACACACAGCGAAGGGAGTCTCCTTCAGGACCCGCGAACAACATGCTTCACTTCTGATAATGCCATCAACTGTATGGAGGTGTCAGGAGCGCACAAAGGAGGCTGGACGCTTCCGTCTCCAAAGACACTGAAGAAAGAGCTGACTAAGAACGGAGGGTCCATGCATCAGCTGTGCATGCTGTTCTCTGGGAGAAAAGTGAGTCCTTCTTACATTTGCACTTACAGTCGAAGCCCTGCTGTATATATTTACCCCCAATTTCTGTTTAAAGAAGATTTTTTTAACACATTTCTGAACGTAACTCATTTCTAATACCGTGATAGATAATATTTGACTAGGCATTTTTCAAGATACTTGTATAAAGTGACATTTAAACAACCCAGGCTCATTCTGGAAACGTAGCTTTGCGGACGTTTCTGGAGACCGCTATTTACCTGACCGTAGGTACGTATGTCCGCATTTCGTTTTTTTCAAGCGAACGCTACGGTGCGGTGTGACGCCGCTCCTCTTCTTCGTGCTCGCCGGCTGACGGCTCACTTCCGTGTGGAGGGCTTTCCCGCTGCAACTAGTTTGTTCGCTTAGCTCGCGGTGTTACGTCAGTGGAGCGGAGGCCAGGAGGAGGAGGAGCCGGCCGCGGTGACGACCGGGATTGAGTTCGGGGAAGAGCGGTTCCAGAAATCAGGTAACATGAAAAACAGAATCCAAAAAATAAAAGCGAACGAGTTGGCGACGGGGCGAGAATGCGGAGAGATCCGAAAACGCGGTCAAAATTGGATGAGGGCTTTTGCTTTTCTTTTTTGGACGTCTTTTGTAAATCGCCGCTTGGGTTTAGGGAAGGAGGAGGAAGAGGATGAGGAGGAGGATGGCTGGGTCGCCCAGTTCGGTCATTCAGTCTGTCGTACAGTTGGACAGACGGTCGCTCGACAGCGGCCTCCGTTGGCTTTACACGCGAGAACAGCGCAGGCGCGAACGGCGCGCACTCCCGAGAGGCATTCGAGACGCAAAAAAGCGCGCACAGTGGCATCTCGCGGATACGCGAAAACAAAACCTGCACAGATACGTACCTCCCGGGACTTATTTCGCGGTCTCCAGAAACGTCCGCGGGGCTACGTTTCCACAATGAGCCTGGGTTGCATTTAAAGGCTTAACTAGGTTAATTAGGGTAAAGTTAGGGTAATTAGGCAAGTGATTGTATAACAGTGATTATTCTGGAGACAATCAAAAACAAATATTGATTAAAAGGCCATGAAACCCCCCTCTTTCGGTTCAGGTCTACCTCAAAATTGCTCTGTGAGCAGAGTCAGGAGTGGGCGTGGCCTGCAGAACAGAGGAGAAAGAGGGGAGCAAACAACTGTTGCCCGTTGGCTCACAAAATGAGACACAAAGCGTGAGGAGACGCATGATTTTATAGTTTACAAAGTTAAAATGCAAAGAAATAAACAGTAATTTCATATACACACAACCACAGTTTGTTATATCATCATGAAGATAACCATGTTAATATAAACACTATTTCAAAAGTTCACACTTAGCTGATGATTGATTATAAAGCTTGTTTGGCATGCTGTCCCGGGAGAGAGCCCTGAGCTCATAAGATCCTCGAGCCCGGGGCTCCCTCTTGTTTGCAAGGCGAGGGGGGAGTTTGAGCTCAGGTAGATCTCGAGAACCTCCCTGCTGTAGAAGCTAATGAACAGATTGGCCAGATAGCCAACCTCTAACAGTAAAATTAATTAATTGTATTTTTATAATCACACTTGAGAAAAACTGTCTGCAGAAACACTTCCATTGACATTCTCTCATTGTACAAATCACGAAAAATCATGGAAAGCCCCACCCATTAGTGACCATCTCTCCCTCATTAGCATAAACAGACCTAGGTCAGAAGCAGCCAACATTAGAGTTTTGTGCGGTATCTGTTAAAGATAGGGCGAGGCAGTGGCGCAGTGGGTAGCACGTTCTCCTCACAGCAAGAAGGTCGCTGGGTCGCTGGTTCGAACCTCGGCTCAGTTGGCAATTCTGTGTGGAGTTTGCATGTTCTCCCTGCCTTCGTGTTGGGTTTCCTCCGGGTACTCTGGTTTCCCCCACAGTCCAAAGACATGCGGTACAGGTGCAGGCTGGAAGGGCATCCGCTGCGTAAAAAACTTGCTGGATAAGTTGGCGGTTCATTCCGCTGTGGCGACCCTGGATTAATAAAGGGACTAAGCCGACAAGAAAATGAATTAATCTGTTAAAGATAACGTCAATGACTAAGAGGCATTATGATTATACAGTTTTAGCACAAATAAACATGTTAGAGCAGCCGACTCCCATGCGGAAGGTTGCCGGTTCGATACCAGCTCGGAGCGGGTTGGGTGGTGTAGGACCGGCGGGGTTACATTGGTGCCGTGACCCGGATGGGAGTGAGGTTTGGAGGGGGGGGTGAGTGTAACGGAGGCCAGCTAGCATGTGCTGTGCAGGTAAACCGCTCTCTTCTGACCTCTAAAGGTGCCCTAGTGACAGCCTTCTTGTTAGAGCATCTGACTTCCATGCAGAAGGTTGCCGGTTCGATTCCAGCTCGGAGCGGGTTGGGTGGCATAGAACCGGCGGGGTTACATCTCCACAGACTAGATCACACAGATAACATCATTCCTGTTTTGAATCTGCCACTATGCTGACACATAAAAAGAGCACAATCTCATTTGAATTTAAAGCGACAGTCACCAAAACGCCACAATTATTATCAAAGCCTAAAAGGGTCAGTTTCAAAGAGTTATAAAACATTGTTTGTGTTATTTGCTTTTAGCTTTAACCCTTATCAAACACGTCTAAAAAAAGTCCTTCAGTCTTGTTTGAAACCTACAGGTAGGTGTGTTGAAGCACCCCTGCTCTAGAGACATCAGAAACTTACTTTACATCTTGTTTACATCTTAAAACTCACCTAAGTTTGACTTATTGTTTCTGAAAACATTTATTTTTTTGATATTTGCACTAGAAACAAGACAAAAATTAATTTTTTACAGTCTTCGCTAGTACTTCTGCAGCTTCCTTACAAAAATGTGAAACAAAAGCCATAAATTGAGCGCTGCGGAGATGACAGTCAACTCTCAGCCGTCTCTCTGCCACAGCGGTTTCTTCAGGCCCGCGTCTGCTGCATAATGAGACTATAAATATCCTGAATGAGCGCATGATGCTGTGTCTGTCTGCACATGTGTTCGCAGAAAATGTGTCTAAATGAATGCCTTCCTGGGAGAAGATGACGTTGAGCAGAGCGGCGGGAGAAAATACACTTTCATTGTGACTCGCCTGCACTTCCACTGTATTTATAGGCATTGATTAATCTGGAGTTCTGTTGGATATTTACTCAGGACGTCCAAAAGAGAAACGAAAATCATACTGTTATGAAAAACAATATCATAATGATGTATTACGTGATATATGGCAACTGCAATATGAACCGCCAACTATTCCGACATGTTTTCAAAGCGGATGCTCTTCCAGCTGCAACCCAGTACTGGGAAACACCCATACACTCTCACATTCACACACACACTCGTACACTATAGCCAATTTAGTTCCTCCGATTCATCTAAAGCGCATGTGTTTGGACTGTGGGGGAAACCGAAGCACCCGGAGGAAACCAACGCCAACACAGGGAGAACATGCAAACTTTATTATTATTAATCCGGGGTCGCCACAGCGGAATGAACCGCCAACTTATCCAGCACATGTTTTACGCAGCGGATGCCCTTCCAGCTGCAACCCATCTCCGGGAAATCTTTCTTTATTCTTAATATTATTTACTTGGCCAGTAGAACGCTTCACCTGCTGTTCCCCGCTTGCAGTAATTGTTTCCGAGTGTTTTCTGGATCCGGTGTTTTCCTCCAGAGAGCCGCTGATGAGTCTCTGACAGTGTGTTTTGACCGGAGACTCAAATCCACAAGGATTTGAGAAGGGAAATATTTGACATGTGGGACCAGAGGAGATCCTGTCAAAAGAAAAGCAGCCGTAAACTGTATCTTCCATCTATTGTCATGGGAAATGTGAGATTGCCGGGTTGAAAAAAGACGGAAGAGTGTAACTCTCGCTAATGGGATGTTTTGTGAGGTTTGCGCTGTGTGTTTGGCTGAGTGAAAGTCTACACACTGCAACAAAACACTTAGAGTTTTGTCTCATTTGCAGTGATGGGATAACGATGGATCGTTTAATCTTGGTGTCTGTGCGATGGAGAATTTTATTGTGTAAACAAGTTTGTGAATCAGATTAGCGATTGGCTGGTGCTGGGTGGACATCATTGATTAATAGAATGACCTTTAAAATTTGTATCATAAAGAAAAATATGTAGGCCTTTGTTAAGGATCTGCCTTTTCGATTGTATATTTCATAATTTAATTCAGTTCAATTCATTTAAGGTAGGTTAAGCTATGCTCAGATCAGTTCAAATACAGTTTATTTCAGGTGTTTTCAATTCAGTTCAATTAAATTAAATTAAATTTAGTTTAATTCCATTTCTTTCAGTTCAGTTGTATTTAATTCTGTTTAGTTCAAATTATTTAAGTTTGGTTAAGTTCTAATCAGTTCAATTCAGTTCAGGTGTATTCAATTCAATTTAATAGAGTTCAATTTAGTTGTATCATATTCAGCAGTATTCAAATCAGTTCTGTTTAATCCAATTCAATTTAATTCAGTTCATTGGTATTCAATTCTGTTCAGTTCAGTTAAATTCAATTTAATTCAGTTCAGTCGTATTCAGCTCAGTTAAATTCAATTCAGTTCAATTCCATTTCTCTCTATTCAGTTGTATTCAATTCAGTTAGGTTTAATTCAGTTCAGTTTAATTTCAGTTCAGTTCAGTTTAATTCAATTCAATTCAACTCAATTCAGTTTAATTCAGTTAATTTTATTATATAATATTATTTTCAGTTGTATTCAGTTCACTTCAATTCAATCCAATTCAACTTAATTCAGTTCAAGTTTATTCAGTTCAGCTCAATTCAGTTCAGTTCAATTCAATTGAGTTCAATTTAGTTTTATTATATTCAGTTGTGTTCAAATCAGTTAAATTCAATTCAATTCAATTTAATTCAGTTCCGTTGTATTTAAATCAGTTCAGTTCAGTTAAATTCAATTCAGTTAGGTTCAATTTGGTTCAATTTAATTCAGCTCATTCCAGTTCAACTCGTTTAAGTTAAGTTTAGCAGAAATCAGTTAAATTCAGTTCA